TAACTTAAAATTGTGCCCCCAAAGTAATAAAACCTTTGTTTATGCTTTGACCCAGCAATACCATTATTAGGGCTCTTTCACAAGGTGACCAGGGAGAAAGAGGGGGAAAAACCTCGACATCCAAAAATATTAATAGCAGCTGTCTTTGTGGTGGCAAAGAACTAGAAGTTGAGGGGATGCCCATTAATCGGAGAACTGCTAAACAAATCATGGTATATGAGTAAAATGGAATACTACTGTGCTTTAAGAAATAATAAGCAGGTTGATTTTAGGAAAATATAGAATGACTTGCATGAAGTAATGAAGAGTGAGATGAGAAGAACCAAAAGAACTTTGTATGCAGTAATAGCAATATTGTTTAAACAGTAACTGTGAATGATTAAGCTCTTCTGAGTACTTTAAATATGAAATCAACTACAAAGGAAATATGAAGGAAAATTCAATACACCTCCAGAGAAAGAATTGATAAATAGAATATGTGGTTTCACATACAGACACATGTGTGTACATGTGTGTATATGTATATGTACATATGTATGTGTGTATACATACATAAAATGCAACAAAATAAATTTAAATTAAATAATAAAGTAAAAAAGAAGAGTATTATTCTAGTGATCAAGAAGTTGAATGGCATCATGTGATTATATACGATCTGTTTAACACTAGAGAAAAGAACTAGGAAGAGTAGGTATAAATTAAAGAGGCAAAATTGGGTTTGAGACAATGGTAGAAAAACAACTTCTTAACAATTAATTCTATGCAAAAGTGGAATGCACTGATAAAGGAGGTAGTAGGTCTTTTGTGAAGGTATTCAACAGAAGTTGGTTGGATAGTTGCCAGCCATTGTAAAGGACCAAGTCTGTATTCTTCCTGGAAAAATCCAAGCTCTTAGTGTAGTACCGTAAGACTGGAAGGCTGTATATGTACAAATACACAGTATGCATCCAAAAGTAAAAGTGAGAATCACTTGGGGGAAGTGGGAAAAGTTGCATGATGAATCAGGTATACCATTGAAGATCCTGGAAGGATATGAGACAGATTACCTGTAGAGTGAGGTGAATTATACATTCAGATTAAAAGCTACTTTGGGTCCTTTTATGTTTTTCCCCAACTCTCTGAATTTTGAAAAGGTGAATATTTTATATCTCATCACTTTAAGGTCTTATATTAGATCAGGAAATTCCTTCACTCACATTAGGTTTTATCCACCAGTTTTTTCAGAGGAAACTATAAGTGGGAGCAAGATGAATCAAAGAGAGATGATTTGCAGAGTAGTGGTTAAGTTATATAAAATTGAAGCTTGTGTCTTTAAATTCAGAACTTAAGGTGTTAGGCTATGGTTTAAAAGTCAGAAAGGTCAATTTATTTCAATTAGTAATACAGAGAAGGGGCTAGCTAGGTGGTACTGTGGATAGAGCACCAGTCCTTGAGTCAGGAAGACCTGAGTTCAAATCTAGTCTCAGACATTTAACACTTACTAGCTGTGTGACTCTGGGCAAGTCACTTAACCCCACAAAAATGCAGAGGAAATAGTAAGAAAATAAGTTAAGCATCAATCCATTTGCCTAAACTTCCACATCCCAAATTCCTGGAAAAAAAAAGGATAAAACCTTTTATCTTTCATTTCTTTTTTTTCAGCCTTATGTTTTAAATAATATATCAAAATAGAAAAAAGGTTGTGTTTTTTAATGAACTTTCTCATCACACCCCGATGGTGCTATATCAACAAGACAGTAGAATAATAGAGTCTAGAGCAACTGGATTGGACATCAGGGTTTCTCAGCACCAGAATCAGTCAATTAAGAAAAAAAAAAACACAGCCTCACTAACATCATTGAAGCCTGAATGGGATCATAGAAACCTTGAATCTGGAACATGGCATCTCAAGAACCATAGCCTCAGATTCACAGCCCAGATTCCTGTCAGTCTTCTGAGTTCTCCACCATTTCTCCTCTCTATCTCTCCTCTACTATATGGTAGCTTCCTCTGTTCAGAATAAAGGAAGTATTATCACTCAAAACATGGTGATTTTGAAATATGATTAAACCTCTGTGTCACAGTCAGCTTTTATACCAAGCAAAGTGTATTGTACAGAGCAGTCACTTAATAGATGTTTGATTGGATTTGAATCTGAGGATGCACCTAATGTACTCAAAATAACACCAAAAAGCTTCAAGATTAAATGTACTGTTGTTGTTGCTGCTGCTGCTCTTGATCTGGAAAGCTAATGACATTTGTCTTGGATCCACGTGGATCCACTATCATACCTTAGAGAAAATCTCTAGTATTCTCCTTCTTTCATATGCACTGTCCTTCCAATTCCTATTTCTCCTTCAAGTCCAAATCTGCTACCATTACTGGTTGCTCTAATTAGCTTCTTCAGATAACACTTATGTTCCCCATTAGTGAATTGAATTTCCAAGGCATTCTATTAGAAACTAAAGATATGAAGGAAAAAAAACTAGTCACTAGGTTGAAAGACAATTTGATTCTCTCAGAGGACATCATGAGAAAGTAATCTACTATTCCATGTCTGCTCCCAACATGCTTCTTCATAGAAAAAAAAAAAAGCTAAGGCATAGGATTTTTTTTTTCAGAATTGTTTTGAAGTAACTGTTTTCCCATTCTCTTTCAAGATACACCTAGCAATAGATGTCAGGAAAGGAACAAAATCCAACAAACAAATAACCGATTAAAAATGTTTCAACTATCAATGTTTTGAAGTCTACCATACAAGCACAGGTACTTCAATAGATAGTGACATCTGTTGAAAGTCATTGCTAATGCTAATAGCCCCCAGACCCAGAGCTTGCAATATTGCTTCAATGGGTCAGCTGATATGTTTAAAAAGTTTACAGATAAACAAAATTTAAGCTTTTAATTTTAAAACAAAATTGTCCACAGGTCTAGTTTGAGTCCTATCTTTTGAGAACACAGATTTAGGCTATATTTCAATGATCCAAGATTTTTATCATACGTGAATTCAGGGGTCAGTGTTAAAAAATGACTTAGGCCAATTAGTCCTTCTGAGAGTGACCATTCTTCTTTAAAAGAATGGAACTAGATATATTGATACAAGAGAAAGTTTGAATAATCCATTGGTAAAAGTATTTCTGTAACTTAAAAAATGCCAACTATTTCAAGTCAATTAGACATCACTTAATCTTTCTAATTTTCATTTTTTTTCCTTTTGGTACCTCCTTGCTACCTACAAATACATTTAAGTCTCTCACTATCCTGAAAAATACCCCATTATGTTCTACACACCCACCAATTATCATCCTATATCAATACATGGCTATGATGGAGCCTCTCTAACCAGCTTATGAGAACTAATTGTTAAATTTTCAGTTGTGAGTGTTTACATCTCAGGAACTGTCAGTTTCTATAAATCAGGGCTTGGTTTATTCTTTCTTTTTTTCTTATTATCTAAACTTAAGGAACCTTAATAATGCAAATTAACCTTAAAGATATATGTACATCTATTTTCCCCCTAGGAAGCACAGTTATTAAACGTTTACCAATACACTGCTGTATTGCTCTATAAAATACTGTTTAAGTTCAGAAGGAAGGAAACAAGCGTTTGTTAAGAGCATACTAAGCACTTTACAAATATCATCTCATTTGATCTTCACAACAGCCACAGGATGTAGGTGATGTTATTAGCCTCACCCTAAAATTAATGAAATAGAGACAAAGAAAATCATATAGGATTGTGTGATTGCCAGAATTTCTCAGAATCACACAGCTAATAAGTCTCTGAGGCCAGATCAGAGCTCGACTTTACCTGACTCCAGGCCTCACACTCTACCCATAGTGTCACTTAGCTACCTAGAAGGAATGTAGTAGAGGTCCAGGGAATGAAGTCATCACTAGACTGGAATCTTGATGACTGTAGTCTAAAAATAATCACAATAACTGGCATTTACACAGTGCTTTAAAATTTCCAAGGGCAGCTAAATGGAATAGTGAATAGAGTTCTAGGCCCGGAGTCAGTAAGATTTGAGTTCAAATCTGACATCAGACAGTTACTAGCTGTGTGACCCTGGGCAAGTGACCCTATTTGTCTTAGTTTCTCATCTTACAATACCTTTGCCTTTTTTTTTCCATCTCTTTATTGGCAAACTCCTTGGAAATCTATAGTCAGTGGTTCTTTCCTCTCTCTCCTTAATTTCCTCCAGACCTTATCATACAACTAAGACTATTCTTTCCAAAGTTACCAACAGTTTATCTGCCTAATCTCATTGCCTCTTCTTAATCCTTAATCTCCTTGATCACACTCTTATTTTTGACATTGTCAATCACATTATCTTTCTGGATGTCTTCTTTTCTCAGTTTTCAAGATACTTTTCTCAACTAGTACTTCTTCTAAACATCTGACAACCTTTCTCCAAGGTTCTCTTCTGTGTCTTTTTTTCTTTCATTTCTATGGCTTTTGTGATGTTAAATTCATCAACTTCTGTATCTCTAAACAGATTTCTACAAAATATACCTTCAATCCTAGCTTCTCTCCTTAACTCTTTTTAAAAATTATCAATGTCATATTAGACATTTCAAACCAGATATCCCAGAGATGTATCAAGCTCAACATGTACACAGTAGAATTCTTCCCAACCTAGTCTTCCTCTAAACTTCCCTAATTACAGCTGATAGAACTACCATGCTTCCACTCAGCTTCACAACCCTTGTGAAGTGTTGAAAATGACATAAGAAAACACACACACACACACACACACACACACACACACCACCTATGAACTTTTATGCAAAAAAAAAAAGAGAGAGATGTCAGGGAGAAGAATTCAAAGTTCTGGCATCCAGAAATCTGTGTTTTTAGGAAATCATTGCTTCATTATTAATTTTTACCACCTTGCTACCTGCTAGGTAAGGGATTAGTTACAGGGTTTGGCCATGATGTCCTTTCATTGGGAAGCAGTTAAATACTTTGTGAATAGAATATGAGAGGAAATTCTAACAGGAAGGCCTGGCATCTTCCATTAGGTCTTCTTTAGCCATAACTTCCCTAGGACCTTCTCCTTGATTTGCCTGGTCTTCACACAGTATACAATGGGGTTCATCAGTGGAGGAACCAGCAAAAATATATTAGCAATGAGAATCCTAATGAGTGTGGAGCCATGTTTGGCAAAGCGGTGGACAATGGACAGACTTATGATTGGCATGTAGAAAATTAGTACAGCACAGATATGGGACACACAAGTGTTGAGAGCCTTGAAACGCTCCTGATGGGAGGCAATGCCCAAAACTGTCTTCAAAATCAGTACATAAGATATAACAATGACTGAAAAGTCCAGCATGCTTAAAATAGCAATAAAGAAGCCATAGATTATATTGACCCGGTTATCAGAGCAGGCTAATCTCATTATGTCTTGGTGGAGACAGTAGGAATAGGAGAGGAGGTTCTCCCTGCAATATCTCAGCCTCTTTAAAGTAATAGGGAATGGGAGTATAAATAGAAAACATCGAATAGCAAAGCCTAACCCAATTTGCATGACTCTGACATTGGTGAGAATGGAACTATATCTTAAGGGGTTGCGGATGGCTATGAAACGATCAAAAGACATGATGACAAGCACTGAGGACTCCATGGCAGTGAAGGTATGGATGAAGAACTCTTGGGTAATGCAAGCATCAACAGAAATTCCCGGAGCATTGAACAAGAAGATTCTCAGCATGGTTGGCAAGGAGGAGAAAGACAGGCAAAGATCAGAAAAGGCCAACATGGAGAGAAAATAATACATAGGCTCATGGAGAGAAGGTTCTGTCTTGATGATGATGAGGATGGTAGAGTTGCCTAGAGCAGCAATGATATATATAAGACAGATAGGTATGGATATCCAGAAGTGCACGTGCTCCATTCCTGGGATCCCAATGAGGACGAAGGTAGAAATCTTATCCTCAGTGATATTAAGAGGGGACATCTATAAATGAAGAAGGAACTACAAATGGAATTACAGATGACATTCCCTGAAATGAAACAAATAATAAGAAAAACATGTATTTGAGTTACTCATATTTTCTCATCCTTAATAGACAATGCTGGGGCAGAAAGATTGCATGGATTTTTTAAAAGGAGAAAGTCTATTGTTTAATTAGGCACAAAAATGCTCTTGTCTTGTTAGACAATAGAATAGTTTGAGTTATGATATTGTAAATTACACTTCACTCACATTATGCAAGCCAAGTATGGATGACCCCAGGTCAGTAACTATGGAATAAGGATTCATGCATATAATGGTTGGCTGGATGAAATGCTCTTTGAAATCCCTTTCAATCTTTACTGTTTTATGACTCTATTTTTCCCCTCCCACTGTTTCCTATTAGAAACAGTAGGTGCAACTTGGGCCACCACAATATTGCATAGACATTAAAAAAAAATAATAGTACTCTCAAATCTCTTTGGGGAATCTCCATAGACTCATAGAGCTGTAATAGATATTAGAAATACCTGTTTAAACCACACATGTATTTCGGCTGAATTGGCTGTTTTAAACTCATTTTCACCAAAGCCACAGAGTTTTGGAGATGGAGGGGGATCTCAGAGTTATAGTTCAGTCCCTTCTTGTATGTATGAGTAAATTGAAATCAGGAGGGAACAATGTGACTGGCCAAACTGATTGGGCTAGACGGTCATTACACATATACACAGTGTATACATATGCACATATGTCTGTAAACATATATATATATATATATATATATATATATATATATAATGTGTGTGTGTGTGTGTGTGTGTATAATTAGAATTAGAATTATAACTAGAAGGCAGGTCTTTCCCTAAAGTTCCCTTTCTGATCCATTTCTAGACTTTTTAAATCTTATTTTTTAATTGTTTTATTTAAGGTAAAACCAATTAATCAATGTTAAAGCATAGTGCTAGTTAAAGCAAAATAAATAAGCAAATGACTATAAGATGCATGGAATTCTTTATTGACAAACTTTTTCTGCATTTTCAACAGTCTGCAAAAATAGCATTGCCACTTATATAATAAGGGTTGATATAATTTGACATCTATTTGGGCATAGAATTACTTTTGCAATCAATTGATAATCATTATATCTATAAATACTGAGGTTTAGATATGTAAAATTCATTAGTAGTTTGGTATTAGAAATTTATAACATTTTCTTCTTTATATTTTCTTCCAAATTATAGACTTAATTCCCAAAGTAACATGAGGGGACAAGCATAGGATATCTTTGAAGTACTTTATACTTTTATGAAACATAACTTACCTGTTCTTGAAGAGTATTTAAAAGAAAGACTGAAATAAAGGCCATGTTTTCCACTAGTAGAATATAATGGTAAAAGAAACACTTTGTTCCTTTATCCTGACTCTGTCTTTTTCTGTCATGCCTCTGTTTCTGTCTTTCTATTATCTTTATCTCTTTTTCTGTCTCTCTGTTTCCCTGTCTTTCTGTCTCTCCCTCTCTCTCAACACATACACACACACACACACACACACACACACACACACACACACACACACCAAGTTTGAATGCCATTATAACAAATTCTATTAACAAAATTTTATGAGCAAGATTTTTATGCCCTAGTCAACAGGCCAAGAAAATAGAGTCAATGTTCTGTAGGGAAAGAATAGTGAAAGAGGAGTGAAATGACTAGTGTTCAATTTCTGACTGTGCCATGTTTCAGCTATACTGTTGTGCAATCCTCTCCCCTTCTCTACACTTCAATTCCCTACTGCAAAATGCTGGTGATATTTCATGGTTTAATTACATCAAAGGGATGTTGAAAGGAAGACATTACTAATATTGGCAAAATATTTTGTAATACTGACATGTTATGTAAATGCAAATTATTAGCATTATTTTGAGGCAATATTTAATGTGAAAAAAAAAACCAAGGAAGTCTGTATAATTCTATTGGATAAATGGTGTTCCAATCTAGTCCTCCCCTTCCATCTGGCCAGACTGGGAAGCAGCTCAAAGCTAGATTGGCTTCCACTGACAAAATTTCTCCAAACTCTATTTGTTTTTGGTTCGCATTGTTTTTGTTTGTTTGTTTTTTTTAACTCCCCCACCCATTAGTGGATTTATTAGTACTAGGCTTCATTTCAAACCAGATCACATAGACACAAAGCTAGGGCAAGACCTATATGGTTTTATTCTTCAATGCACATCTAATCTATTTTTTCTAATATTAATTTTTCAGGTGAAAATTCTGCATGTTGGGATGGACATCTATCATTACCATAGGTAGAGCTTTAATAAATGCTTGTAAAAATATATAAAAAATGATTTCTTTTATTTGCCCCACATTCTAAGCTATTTTCTCAGTAGTCAGGGATGCTAGTTTTTTTTTCTGTTATTTCCACCAAATTGGAAAGTTTGTTGGCCTTTCTAGTTTGCCTATGGGATCAACTCACTCTACTTACGCTACGTGCCTATAGAATCAGATTATTATTTTTAATTAATTAATTAATTTTTAATTTCCAACAATCACTTCCATAAGCTTTTGAATTTTAAATTTTCTCCCCCTACCTCCCTCCCTGCCTCCCTTTCCAAGATGGCACACAGTCTGATATAGGCTCTACATATACATTCCTATTAAACATATTTTCATATTAGTCATGTTGTAAAGAAGAATTAGAACCAATAGGAGGAACCACAAGAAAGAAGAAATAAAACAAAACAGAAGAAAAAAAATGAGCAAATAGTATGCTTTGATCTGCATTCAAACTCCATACTTATTTCTCTGGACATGGATAGCATTTTCCATCATGAGACTTTTGGAGATGTCTTAGATCCTTGCATTGCTGAGAAGGGCTAAGTCTATCAAAGTTAATCATCACACAATATGGCTGTTACTGTGTACAATGTTCTCCTGGTGGATCCAGGTTCTTTATATAGAATTCTTATCCTTTTATTGAGATTTAAAAATAGAAAAACTTCTATTGTCCTACCAAAAATGGCCAGATAATTTTTAAAGCCCAGTGGCAGAAATAATGGTTAATTAAATATAAGGAAGACTAATTAGTTGAAGAGCTAAGAATAGATGTGAAACAATGAGGTTAGTACCTATGTGAACTGGTTGTAGGGGCACTCAAAATTAAAGGGTTCAACTGAAATGCAAGTTCCCTTAGGCCAGAGACTGTCGTTCATGTCTAGCTTTGTATGTCCAGCTTCTAGCATAATCCAATGCATGTAATAACAAAAACTAAAAATTACATAGTGTTTACTATGTGTTAGTGCTGAGTGACTGTGCTGTACTTCAGGATCATTACCTCATTTGATCCTCCCAACAGTCCTACAAGGCAGGTGCTATTATTATCCTCATTTTATAGATGAGGAAACTGAGGCAAACAGAGGTTAAATGAATTGCCCAGGATAACACAACTACTAAGTGGCTGATTCAAACTCAAGTCTTCTTGATTCTAGGACTAGTGCTCTATTAACTGTATTATTTTCTACCATTGCATAGAGGAGGGGGATGAAAGATTCTTTTTGGATTGTATTTAATCTCCTGTTTCTTAGTCTTGTGGCTAAGATTGACAATTTTATTTGTCATGCTACTTCAACAATCATCAGGACTGACTCAGAAATCATATCCACCAAGTACCTCAGACCCTAAGATTTACCATATTAAGGCAGATGATTTGAACTCATCAAATGTTGCCAAGAGATCTCTCACCATCTTTGTCATCTGTCTTAGATTTTACATCCTCATTAACAACCTTTTCCTGTCCTTTATATCACCAAGATTATTTTTTCTTGACAAAGGAAAGAAAATAAAAAAGAACTGAGTATTCCTGTGTCTCAGTATCCAGTATAACTGTTCCAATCACCTTGAATAATGAAGTTTGTCCTTTCTTATTTGTCCTTCCTTCCAATATAGCTGTCAATATACTTTTCTATAGGCAAAAAAAAATACAAAACACGACAGAGCCCCCACCTCTCAACTCATAAGGACCTCATACACCATACTTCAGATACCTCCAGCTGTTATTGCTCAGAGACTTCTATCCATAACATCTCAGCTACCCTACTCATCCTACCTTGAACTGCTTCTTAGACTATTCGGCCCAAAAAGATGTCAGTCAACTCTGTGGCTCTGCATTGACTAAATGGCCTTAAGCGATAATCAAAATGACATGGGATAAGACCTGGAGGGTCAAATGTTTCAGTATAAAAGCCTGGAAATGAGAACAGGAAGTATGAACAAAGGGAGGACAAGAAAAGGAATTGATGAGGGGGGAAAAAAACAACATGAAAATATCCTGTTCCTAGAAAGCCTTTGAGAGATGACCTGAGAGGAACCTATATCACAATGAATTACACTGTAGTATAGTTCATACTGATACTTTGATAATTTTATTGGGGGAAGTGGGGATCCAAATTGAACTGAAGTTAACATGACTCTTGAGGAGCTCAAGATAATTCTCACATCTGTAATTACTTTACTCAATTGAATTTGACATATATTTGGTAAACATCTATGTGCAAGCCACTGTGCTATGTGATAGGAAACCAGAGGTAAAAATGGAAGTCCTTTGTTTCAAGGACTTCACATTCTACTTTACCATTTATGGCACTTTTAACTTATTAACTTATGAAATCCTTACAATACACCCAAGAAGGACTAAAGTCAAGTATTATTATGCCCATTATGCAGATTAGAAAATTGAGGTTAACAGAAGTAAAATATATTGTCCAAGTTTTATCTATGAGGACCTCTAAAATCCTGGAATATATCCCAGATTCCTAGTTCAGTTTTCTGTATCCGTAATATCTGTAGTCCAAATTGTTTCCTAAGTGATGTGTCATTTACAGGGGCATTTGGTCTTATCAGGTGAAGGAATAGGAGATAAGAAGAAGCAGACCTGAATGTCTTCCACGTATTTGGTAGGAGCAAGCAGTATTTTCAGCTGGATTTGTTAGTCACTGAGGTGACTATGGTCAATGGAAAGATCCCTACTTACTTTTGTATCAACCTCTGAAAATAGTACTGAGGCTTTCTTATTCACTGTGCTGGATGCTGGAGGTAGGAGCAGGATAGTGACATACAGATGAAAACTTACATAATTCTTGCAATCAGAGAGGTGACACTCTAATAAGGTATACAAAACTTATACTCTAATAAGTAGGATACTAAGTAACATAATTGTAATAAGGAATAAAAAAATCAAAGTCCTCAGAGGAAATTGGAGAAGGGAGGGATATTCAGTTGCTGGTATTAGGAAAGGTTTTATGAAGGAGAGGGTCCCTAAAGTAGATCCTAAAATGAAAAGAATAATTTGAATGACTGAGATGAGGACAGAGACTTTTCCAAGAATGGAAAATGGTTTATGTCAGTGGACAGAGACAAAACAGAATAAGACCAAAAAAAAAAAACTAAACTAAACTAAAAACTAATACACAAATATATAAACATATGTGTGTGCATCTTACTTTAAAGTTTGTACATTGATTTACATATTTTATCTTATTCTCAAAATTACCTTCTAAGGAAGGAGCTATCATTATTCACATTTTTCTAGATAAGGAAACTGTAGTTTGCAGAATTTAGGTAAAATTTCCAGCTAGTGTATCTACTATCCAGGTCTTTTTGGCTCCAAGTGTATCATTCGATCCCCTACAGCAAATTGCTTCTTCCAACAACTTGTCTGGTTTGGAAGAAAGGAGCATAAATAAAAGGAAATAATGCAGGAAAAATAATTCATTGGTACTTAAATTGTATTTGTTCCTACAGAAATTAAAAAAAAAACAGTGAAGATCTTTAAGCAGAGGAATGGCATAATTAGACAAATATATTAGCAGTATTTTTGAACTAAGTATTGTCTTGTAGCTCCTTTGTGGACAATAAACCCTGACTTGCCAACAAATAATTTCCATGCCTCTTACTCAAATGCTTGTCCCTAATAAAAAACTTGCCTTTTTGAAGGTGATATTAGTGATTGCCAATGAAGTTGTACTCTTACTCCCCCTCCATTTTCTGCCATCACAGAGTATCTTGTGTTTGTTTGTCAAAGTTGGGGGCAAGGAAGGAAGTAAAAATTTGTAGGATATCTGGTATTATATTGTTGGGAATGTGGTCAGGAAGAAACTCCAGCCACAAATTTTTGGGGTACAAACAGCTATGGACAATCTTAAGAGAATGAGTGACTGCTGATAAGTAGGGTCCATTCCCAAATGCCTCGGATATGCAAGAAGACTTCCTTCCAGGGAGCAGAAAAGTGGTCCTTATGATTTCTGGTGGTCTTTCTGTGATCTGGGATTCTGATTCTCTATGAATTTATTTAAGCAAGAATGTGATTGTTGCATATGGAAAAGCTCTTTGCCATCTCATTCCCTGATAAAATTCAGGAATAAATAGACCAAAAACAACTGTGAAAATCAGATCACTAACCTGGTTGGGAGACCCTTGATGGGCCCATTAGAGTGATGAAGGGAAGGGCTCAAGCTCACAACCCCATAACATTCTTTTCCCTACCCTAATACACAGATTTTTTTTATAGTATTCACTGATCTATACACTGCCACTCCCCTTCCCCTCATCCCTATCCACCAATATATAATTATCTCCCCAGGTCCAAGGTTTCAAAGTCCTCTGGGGATGAAGACTGGGAAGAATCAACTCTGAGAGTTAACAGTATATGTTACCCAATAGACAATTGATTCCAAGGAGAAGAAAGTAAACAGACAAAAGGAACTCTTTAATGTTCCTTCTTAGGGAATTGGATTTTCTGACATAATTTTCTATTCATGGAAATCCATGGCAGTATTGTTAGGCAAACGCTTATAGAGTAAAAGTGAAGGAAGCAGATGATCAGTCTAAAAAGTCAAAAGGGAAATAAAGTACAAGAACTGGATATGTTAAATTAAGACTAGTATTCCAAGCTTCTAGGAGACAAATCACTGTAGTTGTTCTTCAGTAATTTCAGTTGTGTCTGACTCTTTGTGCCCCAATTTGGGTTTTCTTGGCAAACATACTGTGATGGTTTGTCATGTCCTTCTCCAGCTCATTTTATAAATGAAGAAAACCAATACAATATCTGAACAACAGGCCTAAATTGCCCAGTATTAGACCATCAGAGTAGCAGTATTGGAAAGCCCAAGCCAAAGTAGTACAAATAAAAGACTAACCAAGTGAATTAATAAGTATATTTTTGGTCTCTTTCCAACCTCCCACTCATGGACGGAAGGGGTGAAAAAAAAGCAAAGCTTTTGTGATACACACACACACACAATACATGTGTGAATATATATGTGTATATACATACATACATACACACATGTGTATATATATGCATATATACATATATGCAAACAAAACAAATTACTACTTCGTCAATGTCCCAAAAGTTGTCTCATTCTGTCTATTTAGTCAATCACCTGTCTGTTAAGCAGTGAGCACCATTCTCCTTCTTAGGTTTTTTGGAATGTTGATTGGTCTTTGTAGGACATTAGAGTTTTTAAATCTTTTAAAACTTCTATTTTTTTTAAAGGAAGTATTAATTGAGTGTAATTTTGATTAACAATGGCTTTTATTTATTGTTTCTAGTTCTGTTCTCTGTGGCAAAATAACTCAGTGCCTCTTCAAGATGGCAACTCTTCAAATACTTGAAGAAAGCTATAATCTCTTCCTATCCCTCAAAAATAAAATCTCTTCTCTGGGCTAATCAGTAATGATTCTCTTAGCTGATCCTTGTACGTCCTCTTACCTTCATCATCCTTGTCATCCTTTTCTGGATAAACACTGTGACTTGTCAGTGTTCTTCCTAAAATTGGCAGCCAAAGATGAAGTCAACCTTTAATTTTATCAGATTGTATTGGCAACAATCTAGCAAAGAAATCATGGTAGGTTAAAAAAGTCAAGGTAAACTTAGCTCTTCTCAGCAATGCAAGGATCTAAGACAACTCCAAATGACTTGTGATGGAAAATGTTATCCACATCCAGAGAAAGAACCATGGAGTCTGAAAGCAGATGGAAGCATACTATTTACTCTCCTTTCCCTTTGTTGCTTTGTTTTATTTCTTCTTTCTCATGGTTCCTCCCATTAGTTCTAATTCTTCTATTCATCATGACTAATGTGAAAATATGCTTAATATGAATGTATAAGTAGAACCTATATCAGATTACATATTGTCTTGGGGAAGGGGGAGGAGAGGAAGGGGAAGAAAATTTTAAACTCAGAATCTTATGGAAGTGAATGCTGAAAACTAAAAATTAACAAATTATTTAATTTTTTAAAGTCAAGGGTTGTAATGACTTGGGACAAAC